CCCCCCCCTTACCCTTACAAAATAATATATTGCCCCCCCTAGCAAAAGTCCTAGTTGCGCCTCTGATTATACGTGTTCGAATTTAATGAATTTGAGCCGCGTCTTTAATCCGCCAAAAACCGGTTTCAATTGGGCTTAAATCTTGAAACAATAAAAACTATTTTAAGTGGAACCAACCATATTTGAGCCGTTGCTTAAATTTAAGCCGCGGCTCAAATTCTTCAAATTCGGCTTCAGCTCGATTCATTTTAATTTTAAATAATAAATGTAATAAGTTCGTCGTTGAAACGTCTCATTTTTGTGAGTAGCCCTGTACATAACCCTGTACATAATATGTACAAACAGGGTTTCCGGCATAGCAGATGAGACCTAATCAAGTAGTTGAACCGCGTAGACGCAGTTCAACCATTTCTCTTATTGACAGTTCCATCGGAACAGATAAGGTTAAACCACGTCTACGCGGTTCAACCATGTCTTGGTGATCCTGATAATATACAGCTGTAAAATAAAGACGACATTTTATAAAAAATTTTATTGTTAACAAGCTTTTTTCAAATTACAAGGTTACAAGTAATCAAAGAAATTTTTTTTAACTGACAGCTTCTCTTGACTTCTATGTTTATGTGTAACAGACGTTTATACAGCTTGATATAAATCAAAACTGAAGTCGAAAGTTTATCAATGTAATTAATGAGTATTAGTTTAGATTAATTATTCCATGTTTGAAAACACAGCTAAGTTTTCTGTATGCTCAGTTTTTCTCCAAGACAAGACCATTAACATTTTGCTAAATTACAAATATCATCATCAATTTGCATTTAGAGAATATGACAATGATTTAAATGTCGTCTTCTGCAAAATATAAATTTCAAATGTTGAGGTGTTGCACTTAATATTACATTATCGGTAATGTTGATCCGCTCTACTGCCCATCCGTCCTATTGCCCATCCGCTATACTGCCCATCCGAACTACTGCAACATCTGACCTACGACAGCTGTAGGTCGGATGGGCATATCTTCTTGCCCATCCGACCTATTCAGCAGCTTATTTTGTCATGCCATAGCGCAGTAGGGTGGAAATAATTAATTGTAGCTGTCGGATGGCCACTCAATTTTGTAGGTCAGATGGGCACTTTTTGTAGGTCGGATGGGCATTTTTCGTAGGTCGGATGGGCACTTTTCGTAGGTCGGATGGG